AGCCCTTAAATCCAGCTCAGCATTTTCTTAGTGATGTCATCTCTTTCTCATTCCATTCTGTGTTCACTTTTTCACTTTGGCCTTTCCAAGCTTTCTGGGTCCTGCACGCACATGCTCGCATCCCCTTCCGCAGCAGTTCCCTCACATGTGGTGCAGTACATTATGTGATGCATCTTGTTCTGTATCCATAGATCTTTTTAAATCTGGAGCTGCCTGTAGTCATTCTGAGTTCACTAGAAATAGGAAGTGCATGGCTTGCTTGGTTGATTTACCACAGACTTCCATCCAGCTCTTTCTTCACACTTCCACTATACTGTATCTTTTGACAGACAGGAGAAAAAAAAACTATAAACAAGGAAATGGATGCCAGATGCGAGCCATGTCTTACATGCAATGTTCTTCCAGTGTTTTTGTCTTGGCTAGGGCTGGACGATATGGCCAAAACTTTTATCATGATATATCTCTTACTTTCGGTCGATAACGATATAATTCGATATCGATATAAACAATATAAAAGCCTCAGAAAAACTACAAACTATACAAATAAATTAATGTTCACCTTTTATTTGTATTTAGCCTTCAAAAAAAAAAAAAAATGAAATCACTGTCAAATTAACATAAAATTCTCAACTTTGTCAATATTAATAGTTTTAATTTTAAACAACAACTTTAAAATTGACAGCATTGAAATTCGTTGTTAATGAAATAACATTTTTGGGAGTCATTATTGATGAGAAGCTGACATGGAAATCTCATGTAAAATACTTAAAAATAAAAATAACAATTGAGTAATTGCATTACTTCCTCCTTCCTGAGGAAGTCTCTTGGATGAGAGACGAAACGTTTCTATATTTTTTTTTGCTTTGTTTTGTTTTTTTGAATGTCCAGAGGACCAGATTGAACTTTTTTGGATTTTTCTACCTGGATTATTGACATGCATTAGGATATAAGAAATATTAGTAGTATGAAGTGCTATGGTCACCCAACAAATATATTATTCTTGGCTCAAACTTTTATTGTGCTTCATCTTGTGACTCATCATATTCTGTCAAGTGGAACAAGTTAATGTTCCAACCGCTAGTTAGAACGACTCTCCATCACATTTTGCAGCACACTGATTGAAACCTGCAGTTTATCAGATCTTAGAAAGCCAAACCACTTCCAAACCAGCAAATTAGTCTTTTCTCTCTTATCAGTGATGTCATCTGCTTTCTCTTCGCTTGTGAAAGCTTGTTCAGTCACATTCTGACGATCATGGGCGCTCATTTTGAAGCGAAAACTTAACGCGTGTTGGAGATTAGCCTAGCTTAGCCTGCTACCACTAACGCCTTCTGGACTTGAGCTCTACGTAGTGCCTATGTCACCACGCACTTATGTAGTTGTGTCGCACCTTTTTCTGTCCGGGTTGAAACTGAAGAGGCCGCTTCAACCTGAACAGAAAGAAATGCATCAGTGAAACACTGTAATCCTATTGAAATACTGAAAATGTGCTTAAAACTCATATCATCGTTATTGAATAAAAGTATATCGCGAGATATATCGATATTGAATTATTGTCCAGTTCTAGTGTTGGCTGATTCTAATAAATATGTTTTTTTTTTTATAATTTCAACCAAATCATACAATAAATATATGCACACAGCTAGTTCACCCTCCTGACACATGCTCAATAAGCTATGTAGATAAATCTAACAAGGTTGAATCAGGTCCTCTAGACGGATTCTTCTTTGTTGAAACATTTCGTCTTTTGTCATTTAAATGTTTCAACAAAGAAGAATCCGTCCAGAGGACATGACTCAACCTTGTTAGAGCCAGCTCACTCTGTTTTTGTCCACATGGACAGTTCCATATCTTTTTAAGCCCAGGCCCTTTAACCAGATGCATGGGAGTGTTACAGCGGGAGCTGGATGAAGGTCCTGAGTCACTGCAGCTAGCTGTTGCTAGCCATGGGCCTCAGGCCTCCTCTCGGACCCAGGACCCGCCTCCAGTCCACGCTGCTCCCCCGGCTCAGACCTCCCTCAGAAGCGGCAACTCACATTATTAATAAAACAAGGAAACGTGAATTCAGTTTTACCAATTGTATTAAAATCAAGGCAGTTAAAGGTTACAGTTTACAGCGCTGGCCAGTCTGGTATACGACATGAGATCAGGAGCCGGAAGGGCCGGATGTCCCGTGGCATTCCACATTTATAGGGCCTAGACTCCTCTTTCGCAGAAGGGGAGTACAACCTGTCACATGTATGAAGGGGAGTGACTAAGTATGATCTCAAGCGATCTTAACTGGTTTAACGTGAAGGGAAAAATGAGACGGTGCTTCAAAAGCCTTTCTGCGTTATGTGGCAAGCAAAATGAACTCTATTCCTTGACGGATATTGAATCCCTGGGAGACTCTTTTTAGACTTGCTAGCCGCGTTTAACCCAGTCAGAACTGGGTCATAATTTCATTATAATCCTGTCTCTGAGCAGATCAAAAACCCTAGGGTCAGTCTAGATTAATGTACTAACAGGAGGTTGAGGATTCTGTGCAGTATCTTAGTTGTTCCATGGTCTGTACTCCTTTGGACAGAGATTCCTGAGGTTTCTGGAGACAGTCTCATTGTTTTGGGGTCACAACTTCCAAGTACTTTAATGATCAGGGAAGCTGGAACAGTAACTATGTTGCATAACTTTGCCAAATGATGATCTGGAGTTCAACCTCAGAGTAACTTTAGTTGTGTATTGAGAGAGCAGAAATCATGCCATCCTGATTCGGACATTGCCTGGATTAACAAGGTACCCTCTGGACAGGTCACAAGTCCACTACAGGAACACATAGAGACAAACAATACACACAACCATCCACACACTCATCTAGGGTGAATAAAGAGTTACCAATGAAACCTAACATGCATGTTTTGATCAGTGGGAGGAAACCAGAGAAAAACAACGCTATACGAGGAGAACATGTAACACTCATGCAGAAAGGTCCCAGGCTGGGAGCCCAACCTGCAATCTTCTCACTGTGAGGTGACAGTTCTAAACACTCCACTAATATTCCACCCAAGGAAAATATTTCATTAAAATTTAATATTTAGATATTTACGTTTGTCAAACTGCTTGTAAAATTATAGGATTTAAAGTAGGCTGGACTTAAAAATGTCTCTTTTTAAGGGGCTGCTACATTGAAAATCTCAGCTAACTTGTTACTGAGCAGTAAAACATGCACATGGAAGTCATTATTAGCTTTAATTTGCATTATTTATGTTGCAATAATGGATCATGACAAACACAATTTTGACTGTTGCTTAGCCAACCAAGAAGAAAATAATATGTTAAGAGTTTCATATTGGCCCGTCAGTCTGAAAACCAGTTGATTCTTGTCAACAACCAGCTGAATGGCGCATTTCTAGTATGTATATTGTTTAGGAATGTCAGTCATCTATCAAACAATCCATCTATTTACCCCACAGTCCATCTCCTTTATTCTGTCTGATACACTGAAAAAAATATCATTCAAACACAAAAATAACTTTAAAAAATGACCATCTGCATCTAATTCAAAAAACATTTAACACAGAAGGACTGGGAAGTTACAGTTATTATGGGAAAATTGTAAGACCAATTTTTTTGTAAGAAAATCTTCCAGTCAAAAAGTTGTGAGGTGGAGAACCTTATGACGACATAAGGTTTTAATCAATATCATCTGTTAGTCTTTGAAGAAAATGTCTTTAAAAGTTTCCCAACTCAGAGGTTTTAATAGACAAATAATGAGTTTTGAATTTGTGCTCTTCTCGCTATATTAAGCAGGTTCTCATTAGATATCCCCATTTTTAAAATATTGTCTAGTCTAGAAAACATTAGTATTGACTTTAATAACTAAAACTATAATCTATGATTATCATACATAAATTCTTTACTAACCTAAATCATTCCGAACTTGAGTGAACTGTAATAAAAAATGTCTCACTCTTCTGTTTTTGTGTTGACTTATTTTCTTTTATTTTACTTTTCTCTGTTCATGTTAGCATTTCCTGTTTACTCATTTTGAGGGCATACCTAAAATGACATGGAGGGATTTATTGGTGTAAAAAGAATATGAACTCGTTAACATGTCTCAACATGTTTTGTTCTAAAACAAAACAAAATAAAAAAAGGAAGAAAAATGAATCCAAAATGCTGCATAACCAAAATTGGCAGCAGGCGTTACACAGTGATTTAAGTGCTAGTTTTATGAGAAACAATTTTGTGAAGTACGCACACGTATGCGCAACAGATTTTTGGAGGAACAGGGTATCCCCATTACAAAGAACAAGGAAAGATTATGGCTTGGCAAATATCACAACTTCATTACCCAAGTTTCATAAGGAGGCTGTTTGGGCCAAGAGGTGAGACATAACAGGCAGTTCGGTCTCCCTCTTGGTTGGTTATTCTGCTGTTTCTCAGAGGTGCAGACTGGGAAACAGCAAGAGATGCAGCAGAGAAAGAAAGAGGAAAATAAAAAGCGCAAAAGTTGGAAAAAGACAGAGAAAAGAAATGGAGTGGACTGTGTACCTAGAGGCTTGTTTTGTTCCAAATCAGATTGCTTTATAGCAATGCAGGGGGCAAGTTGTTCCAGGCAGTAGACAATGGGCCAACAGGATCAATATTGACATTCTCCTTAGTGATAGATGAGTTGGCTGGGTGAGGTCAGGGACTGGACTATTCTTTTAGTCTGCCAGCATTAGTGGTCACGGCTGGGGGACACTTACTGTAACTTTGGCCTGTCAGGATAATGGAGGGTCTGAACTAGCCCAAGAAAGGTCTCTCCCACTCTTTGCTTTATGGGCTTTATTACGGTAAGAGAACTCGTTCTTCCACTGGCCCGAGTCGAGCACAGATCATTGCTTTGTCAAAACAGCTACCAGACCACACTGGCACTTGCACAGGTCAGCTTGTGCGGCAGACAGCATCTTAAAGTGTCAGTTTCGCAGTAAGAGATGAGGGAAAGACAATATTAAAAACAATAAGCACAGTACCGGTACTTTTGGAAAACAGACCATTTATTAGTTCTTATTAAAACAGCTTTCACTTTACCATCAATTTACTGGAAAATCTTACATGTTGGGCAAATACAGACACAAACTCCGAGTACAGACTCATACCATAGTTATAGCATTGCATGTCACCACAAAATATACTGATATACTATTACACCACAACAAATTCCATGTTCTTGCTTTGCTGAAACAACATCTCAATTGTTGTTTACCTAAAGTGGTCAATTAATCCAAGGCAAACTCATAAAAGAGGAAATGATGTGGGCAGTGAAAGTAGTTAAATCCAACTAGCGGGGCGTCAGGCTTTTTGGTACTTCATACATCTATGGAAGTAGTATCTAACAACAAAATGAAAAGTGGAGAGACAATAAATGAGATAGAGGAAAAACATGTAAAGAAAAAAAATTAAAGGCAAAAAGGAGGAGTGAATAAAAAAAAGATATGGCAGAAAAGAGTGAGGAGAAAGAAAGTCATCTGAGGTGATGGAGAAGTGTGTTGGGCTGATTTCAATAAAGATGGAGCCCGGCCACTCTCCTCCTCCTCTAATTCTTTTCTGAGTCTGGTTACTGGACGGAAGCCTTGCAAACATGCTAAACACATGTCTGCAACCTCCCACACACTAACTCATTCTCTACACACATGTCATGGAGGGAAAAAAGTGACCTCACAAGAGTTGCATTTCAAATCAATACATGTTGCTCTCAGTGTAACACCAGTGCGTATATGAAGGGTCTGATTTCCCATTCTTCTGGCTGTTTCAGAGTCCAAACCACTCAGTGACACCTCCTCTCCTGGGGTCGAGTTTCTGCCTCTGTTTCTCGTCCTCTATGAACTTGTTCCGAATCTCTTCCATAGAGCCCTCCGCTGGCGTCTGGTCTTTTTCGGGGAAGATGTTAGGGAAGGTGAAAATCTGGTCCTGTGCCTGATGGAAAAACAAAGGACGAAAAAAACATGAGCTTTAGACACTTAGCAATTAGTTGCAGTTAGTTGCCGCTATATATATAAAAAGTCCATCCAGCCATCCATTTTCCAAGGATGGAAAAAAACATGAGCTGTAGACACTGAGCAGTTATTTGCCTCTTTATATATAAAGTCAATTAATAAAACAAACAAAAGAGAAATGAAATACCCATGTGAAATTTAAGACACTGTTTCCACCTCTGTAGCCTTCTTCTAGTTAGACAAATCTATTTCTCTCTTGGCATTCAACTTCTCCAACTCTCTCCCACATTTCTATGTTTTATTCTGGTCTTGATTTATTCAGAGGAAAAGGATGGTATCCATTATTTATTCCATACCAACCCATCTCTGGTCATGGCTAATGCATCACTGGCCCAAATGTAGTCTGCATCAAGCTGCTATAGAGTATAGTACAGTACACACACTTGCATGCATGCAAAAAAGAAAGTTAAATAAAAGATAACAGGCCATTGAGTGCAGTTACAAAACAAATCTCTATCTTATCCTTCTCATTCTCTCACATCGGCACTGGATAACAAAAGATAACCAAAAATGGTATTGGATCATTGTCATTCAATCTATTCCCAAATTATTTAAAGATCACAAACACTAGTTTACACCAACAATTTACATTTCCTAACAGTAAATTTTTTTTATGTGAGGCATGAAACTTTTATACAGAGGCTCATCACTATGAAAAAAATTACTTCAATAAACACAACTGTCAATCAAATATTCAATTTGAATTTTTGAAATATTTTGCTTGGGGTCAGTGTGTACTGCGTAGGCGTTAAGGAATGGTCTGGCTCTAATGTGAATGTTACTCTGTCTGTCTCCAACCCCCAAAATACCAAAAGAAACATGCATATAATTACTACATAGCATGGTTTGATTCCCAAAGGGGGAAACAACATGAAACTCACTTAGCCAAGATGCAAAATGAAGTTGCTTTTGTTTACTGTAGAAGAGCTTAAGATTGACAATGGTTAAAGTTGCATCTCACGGTGAGAGGCTGGGTGGTTGGACCCACTCTCTCTCTCTCTTTTTTTAGCCAGTCCACTCCACCCTCCCACAGACAGTGCTATTGTGAGTGGGTGCACCTCTGTAGCCTCCTACTTAACTGGCGATACAGTATGACAGTTCTTAAAAAATTAAATAAATAAAAACTAGCAATGGAAATAATGATGTCTTCTCCTGGAGGTGTAGGCTTGTCTTTCTGTCACAGCTGTGATTTTATTACCGTGATTGCTGGAGTACAAGCTGCTACTTTTTTCTTTTTTCTCACACTTTGTACCCCGCAGTTTATATGAAGGAGCGGATAATTTATGTATTTTTTTCACAATTTTCACAAGTGATATTTTATATTTTATTTTGACAGACTTCCTGCCGTCTCTTGGTAGCTTCCTGCCACTGACTAACATTTTCCTTTCACAGACCTGGGCGCTCATGGCTCCCAGCACCCTCCCCTCTTGAGGGCGGGATTTTGTGAAACAGATTGAATGCCCTCAGGTAACCACATGTACAAAGCTTCTTACTCAGGGTTTCAAACACCAGAAGTCTAACCTGAATAACCAATGAGGTACTCTCGAGGACCATCTCCAAAGATAGACGTGGAATAATTTATTCAGATCGTTCCCGTGTTGTTACCGTATTTTGCGTTTCATGCACAAACCTGTTCATTTATTCAGCGATAATGGAAAATGCACAGAGAATTTCTTACGATGCAGCTTTCAAGTTAAAAGTGATCGATTTGGCTGTTGAAGAAGAAAACAAAGCTGCCGCCCGTAAGCTTTGCATCAACATGTCGATGGTCGAGCATTGGAGACGCAAAGCAATCAAGTCTGGTACATGTTTTAATAAATGTTTTAAAATTATTTTTTGTGTGACATCTTTCGGTGTACGGTAAATATACGTTTAAATACCGGGATCTCATTTTAAGCTCACATCTGAACACGGAGCGGAGAACAACAGGAGGGGTTCTTGCCCCTCCACTTCCATCATGAGAGCTCAGCGGAGAAGTCGTCAGATTTATTTTTAAAGCAGTCAGTCAAGACTGACACAAGTTTAAATAAAAGTTTTTAAAAAATGTTTCTGTGTATAGTAAATGTGTTTAAACACCAATATCTCATTTAAGCTCACGTTGTCTCCTCCGCATGAAGCGGAGACAATGGGAGGGAGGGGTTGTTTCCCCGTCTTCCCCCCTCCTCATATGAGCTCTGCTGAGCAGAAATCACATCAAATTTATTTAGGAAGTACATTTAAAAACAGCAGCTGTTTCCAAAAGTGTTTAACAATAAAAATCAATGGTACTAATTTAATGAATACTTACCATATTTCACCTGTACTATTTGACTTCTGGTCACATGACCTCTAAGTCTTCTAGGTAATATTTACTGGTATATAATTTTTTAATCATTTAGGTTACTAGGTGTTTGGCACTGTTCTGTCCAGTGATTACGCTTAGACAGTTCTTGTGTTCATTTTGTAGGTGTAATGGTTTTAACCAAGAGTCAGACAGCGAAGTATCATGAAGACTTCCGACGATCATGCAGTCTGAACGTGTGTTGAAAGCAAGCTAGTCTGTGAAACGCCATCCGGTGGCTGATTCTTGTACTACACCAAGAAAGATGCACGTTATGCTGGTGCTGGAGCTGACTGGGCACAGTTCCTGACAATGAACAGTGGATGCCCGTGGCTTAATAACTGGAGCGTCTTATTTATGTACAAAACTACGTTATATCATAATGTTATATTATGATAATGTTACATGCAATCTTTTATTCAGTCTGTATGGCTTAGAGACAGGTGTGTGCTGTAGTCCAAGAATTACAGTAGTTTGAAAGTTTAGACGGTTACTTTTGCCAAAATATAAAGTTTAACAGTATTGATGTATCCCAGGGAATTATAAAAACTAACAATGTTATCGTTTTGAATATGATCATTAAAACTTGATTTAAAGTTGATCCTGCAAGTCTCGACCTTGCAAATGGTAGCAAAGGTACAGCTGATACAACACGTTTATGTATAAAGACGGCCCGTCCTTTATTATGTATTCTTGTCTCTCCCTGCTGTGCACGGGTATCATTTTCTCCAATGCAATGCCTAGTGTTTAGAAGAGGTACTGTGTATTGCACCTCTAATGTCAACAAAAAGAGCAACCCTGCAGTGTTCATATTTAAAATAACTTGGATTATGACCAAAGCAAACATATGTTCTTGCATTTCCCTCTTTATATTATAGCATTGTAAATTGCTTAAAAAAAACCCTAGTAAATTATGTAAGCCAAGCTTTTCAAAACAATGCCAATATGAAAAGTTTTTCATTGCTATCTTTCACAGCAATGCCACATCTATCAGAGTATGGGGTTAAAAGAAGGAAGCGCACAAGCTAGAGCCCCCAAAATGTTAATGTTAAGCAATCTCTTACACTATAAAACTGATGTGGTGGAGGTGACTAATTACACTATAGAAACAAGGAAAATCAGGGTCTTATGGTGTTTGTAGTTTGTGATAAAGAAACATAACCAACATCCTACATCTGCTTCCTGTTTGTGTGAGCTACAAGCACACATTTTATAGCCATTCAAATGAACGTTTTTTGTGAAATTTTACACAAAATTACTTTTGCATTAAATAGTTGCACAAACAAGGTCCACTTAACTTTGTTTTTCTTTAACACAAAATGTGTTGCAACATGGCCAGGCTTTAGTGTAAATAACCACAAGACAACTATTTAAATAACCATCTGATGCAAAACTGACACTATAAAAGCTTACAAGCTTTCAAAAACCTGAATGCACTGCTTCTCTCAAACACACGTCCAACTTTGGTCTCTAATAATAGCTTTGTGGATCAGCTAAAACTAAACATGCATAGCCTTCAATCAAAAGACTGAAGGCTATGCATCCTCCTATTCTCTTTATACCTGCTGCCGCTTGGTGCTATTTTTCGGAAACACAACATGCCCTTCCACTTCTAAGCTGATGACTGTCAAATTTACTTCCCCCTAAGACACAATGGCACATGCTCTATTCAACCGCTGCTCAACTGCCTGGCTGACATCAGGGACTGGATGGCTTTAAACTTCTTAAGTTTCAATGAAAAGAAGTCTGAAGTCATGTTGTTCCCTCCCAACGACACAATCACAAACCACTGTATCGACTCCCTTCCCTGAAACTTAACAGTCACATAAACATGATTGTTAAATCATGTTCCTTCCAACTGAGGCGGCTGTCTAAACTGAAGCCCATATTGTCCAAAAAGAACCTGGAGACAGTAATACATGTATTCATTACATCTAGGCTTGATTACTGCAATTCACTCCTGTTTGGTATCAGTCAGACCTCCATTGCACAACTACAACTTGTCCAGAATGCAGCAGCCCTATTTTTAACCAGTACAGATAAAAGAGAGCACATTACACCAGTTTTGGCCTCCCTGCACTGATTACCGGTTCACTTTCAAATCCAGTTCAAAATACTCATGTATGTCTACAAATCATTGAACAGTTTCGTGCCCTGTGCCCCCCATCTCTCTGATCTGGTACAACCGTATGTCCCACCACGTTCCCTGAGGTCAGCGGACCAGTTGCTCCTCACAGTTCCAGGAACTCGTCTTAAGTGCAGAGGTGACAGGGCCTTCTCTGTAGCAGGACCATGACTCTGGAACGCGTTACCTCTGCTTGTCAGACAGGCCCCCTCCCTCTCGGTTTTCAAGTCCCGTTTAAAAACACTACTAATCAGTAGCTTTCAACACCAGAGGATATGTGTTTTGAACCTGTACGCTCCACACTGGTTTGTCGTCATTATCTGCATCGTTTTTATGTCTATATTTCTGATTTACTTCATTTTGTATCTTGCTTTGTGTGTTACCTGTTGTTCTGTCTGTACAGCACTTTGGTTGGCCTTGTCGCTGTTTTAAGTGCTCTATAAATAAAATGGTATGGTATGGTATGGTAAAAGAA